CAGTTTAAGAAATACTGAGCGAGTTTGACCTTTTTTATTTTCTGACTGTATTTTTGCACATTTCATTATAATAATTTGTTTTGTCTTCCTGTGCTGTCCTTTGAAATCTTCTATTTAGCTCCTTAACATCTAGATTTCTTCTCTTTGCTTTGGCTTCTCAGTACTCTAGTGCAATATTTAGAGTCCCTTCTGACCTCCATATTGGTCTTTCCTTCCTTCTCTTTGTAATGACTTTTTGTATTCTTCATGGAGCATATTCTTGATAGCTTCCCACAGCTCATCTGGCCTTCACTCATTACTATTTAAAGCCTCAAGTCTGTTCCTGAGATGGTTTTTTAATTCAGCTGGGATAGACTCAAGGTTTGAATCTGCCGGGTGTGCTGTGGGAGAAAGATGGGCAGTCTCCTCCCAAGTGATTCGCAGCCTCTGCAAACCTCTGAAGGGTCAGCTGTGAATCATTTCTGACAAGACAGCAATAAGATGGAGGAGGTCCTAGTGCTGTATGAAGGTTCCCGTGTCTTTGTATCCTCTCCAGCATTTAGCATTCCCTTTCTTTTTCATTACAGCATTCTAGTGAGAGAGAAAGGGACTCTTCTGGTGTAGTTTGCAGAGAGTGGTGCTGCTATCCCAAAGGCCAAGCCTTTCCTGTGGTTTGAATCCACCAACACCTCCTCAGGAGAAAGAGGAACAATCTCTGGTGTGATTGACAGCCTTGGAAGCCCAGTGGAGGGTCATCTATCAGTCGCTTCCAGCTTGAAGGCAATGAGTGAGTGGGTGTGAGGCAGTATCTCATGTGGTTTTGATTTTCATTTCCCTAATGACTAAGGCTCTCAGAGTACTGGAGAGTATTAATGTGCTCAGGACCTTTCCAGTCACTTGCTGTGCATTGGAAACTGGACAATGAAAAAGGATGACAGACTCTGTGCCTTTGAGCTGTGATGGTGGAGAATAGTACTGAATATCCTATCCCGTGGACAGCCCAAAGAACAAAGAAATCTTGGAGAAGGTGCAGCCAGAGTATTCCTTAGAGGCAAAGACGATGAAGCTTCATCTCACATACTTAGGGCATGTTGTGAGGAGAGGCTGTTCTTTGGAGAGGGACATCATGCTTGGAAAGGTTGAGGGTCAGAGAAAGCGAGGAAGACCCTCAACCAGGTGGATTGACACAGTAACTGATGGAGTGGGCTGTAATGTGTCAGGAAGTATGAAGATGGCACAGGATAGGACATTGTTCACAGGGTCATATTCAACGACAACAACAACAGAGACTAATGATGTTGAACATCTTTTCATGTGCTTAGTGGCCATTTTTATGTCTCTGGAGAAATGTCTTTTCAGTCCTTTGTTCATTTCTAATTTTTATTGAGTTGTAAGAGTTCTTTATCTTTTCTGGATACAAGTCCCTTCTGAGATACCTGACTTGAACCTTTTCCCATCCTGTGCACTATCTTTTAACTTGACAGGATAGTTTATTGCACAGAAGTTTCACATTTTTAAGTACTTTACGATTTGTTTGTTTTCAGAGTGTTAGGATTTACTGACTTTGGTTTTGTTTTCAAGACTTCCTTTTGTCCATTGAGTTCCCATTCTAGAAAACGAGAGGAAAACCTTTTGGGGTTTTTTGTTAGTGGTGTTGTTTTGTTTTGTTTCTTTTATTGTAATTTTTATGATGGATTTCAGATAGTTGTAAGCTTCATGGGAGGATTTGGTATCTGTTTTGCCAGGGTGTATATGTTAAAGAATTCTTCCTGACAGACAAGGTGCTTTGAATTTTACAAGGGGGAATAATTTGTTGAGCGCATTTAATATCAATCCAATGCCTAAACAGGTACATCAACTCCTCACTTACATCGTTAGGTTCCAAGGACTGATTTGTTATACAAAAAAGCATTCTCCAAAAATGGAGGCTGACCACATCACTTGACCCCACGAGCTATGCTGTGAATACCTGCTGGGCCCCTGCTGAGGTCAGCTGCCAGCACTTCCCCCCCACGTTGCCTTAGGAGAGCTGTTCCCTCATTGCCTGTAGGGAGGGCTGCTCACTTTTCCCGAGCTAAGGTGACTCACATGCTGCCCTCTTTCCCACCTGTGGGTCCCCTTCCTTTCCTACTGTCACTGGATTTTTTGAATGGATTGCCTGGCTCATCACCTCAGTGACCCCAAAATGCTTTGGTGACTTTATCAGGTCCAGTGAACTCCCTGTCCTTGGGTGGGAGAGTCTGGGTGCTGCAGTGTGGGTGTCCACCACCCTTATATCCCTCCTGTAGGACTCATTTCAGGTTTCCCTCTGAAAAGAAGATAGAAGGCACACAGAGTCTCTGTGTCTCAAAAAGAATTGGTTGACCCTAAAAAATTTCAGGTTGTATTATATGAACAATAGCCAATGGTAATAAAGGAAGAAGTTCAAGCTGTACAAAAGGCATTGGCAAAAAAAAAAAAGTAAGGCCCCAGGGGATACCAGTTTATATGTTTCAGCTATCAGATGCAGCCCTGCACATGTTTCCCAGTTGCTGCCGGTAATATAGTGGACAGCTACTTAACTGGCAGACTGGAAGAGATCCATATTTGTTCCCATTCTCAAGAAAGGTGATCCAACAGAATGAGGAAATGACTGAGCAGTATCATTAACATCACATGCAAGCAAAATATTGCGGAAAGCCATCCAAAACCAGCTAGAACATTGAGAGAGAACTGCCAAAAATTCAGGTGAGGTTTAGAAGAGGCCATGGCACCAGGGATATCATTGCTGATGGTAGAGGTATCCTGGCTGAAAGCAGAGAATACTAGAAGAATGTCTATTTGTGTTTTATTGACTATGAAAGGCATTTTACTGTGTGGATCGTAACAAACTGGCTAACATTGACAAGAATGAGAAACTCAGAACACTTAATATTGCTCATATGAAACCTATTCCTAGAACAAGAAACTGTTGTCTGAATGGGGCAAGGGAACCACCACATGGTTTAAAATCAGGAAAGATGTGCATCAGAGTTGTATCCTTTCTCCATACCTATTCAGTTTGTACACTGAGCAAGTCAATCAAGAAGTTCAACTCAATGAAGAATAAAGTGGTGTCAGGATTGGACAAAGACTCATCAGCAACTTATGTTATGCAAATGATACAGCCTTGCTTGGTGAAAGTGAGGAGGACTTAAAATGCTTGCTTTAGAAGATCAAAGACTATACTTTTCAATACAGATTACATCGAACGTAAAGAAGACAAAAATCCTCACCACTGGACTGATAAGCAACATTGTGACAGATGGAGAAAAGATTGACATTGTCAGTGATTTCATCTTACTTGGCTCTGCAGTCAACACCTTTGGTGCCAGCAGTCAGATCAGGAGACATGTTGCTTTGGGAAAGTCTGCTGTCATGGATCTCTTCAAATTACTGAGGAGCAATGATGCTAGTTTGAAAACTTAACGTGCACCTGATTCAGGCCATGGTCTTCTCAGTCATTTGCTGTGCATCTGAGGGCTGGACAATTAATAAGGTTGACAGAAGAAGAATTGATGCTTTGGAGCTAAAGACCGTCAACAAGATGGATTGACACAATAACTGCAGCAATGGGTTCAAGTGTGTCAGAGATTGTAAGGATGGCACAGGATAGGACAGGGCTCAGATCTGTTCATCCTAAGGTTGCTGTGAGTTGCACTCGACAGCCCCTAACAACAAAACCAGCCTGACCAAGGCCTGTCCCTACTGCCTCTTGGAGTTTGTAGCTGGGGCTTCAAACTACCCCAAGGGTAGTCCACCTTCAGAATACTGACTTACTAATGCCCTGGCTTCAGCCCCTTGTGGGCACCTAGGACCCACTGAGAGGCCACTCATCCCTGCAAGCCCCAATATAACCCCCCATTTGCTCTGCCTGAAACCCTGGATGCTCAGGGAGTCTGTGCCCCTCTCCCTCCCAGACAGCAAAATACTGTGCACTTCATTCTCTGTGCACGCAGGGTCTACTGATCAGGGACCTCAGCATTCATTACTGCCAGAATGTGCCAAATCGTTGGACTGTAGGTTTTTCAGTATTGTAAATTGGAAACACTTAGATAGGCTCCAGAAGTAAGGAGTGGGTGTAGTACCCACCTGGGGTGGTTTTATTCCTTGGGAGACATCTGGCAATTTCTAGAGACCTATTGGTTGTTGATTATTGAAGCTGGATACGGCGTGACAATCATCTAGTGAACAGTGACCCAGGGATGCTGCTAAATTGCAATGCACAGGACCAGCCACCACCACAAAGAATTATTTGGCCCCAAGTATTGGTACTGGCATCAAGGTTAGGAAACTGGACGAACAGGGAAATCCTAAAACTTGAGGATTTTTCTTCAGATCATGGCTTGATAATAAAATGAAAGGAGGATCCACATGAATAGAATCCCTGTGGACAGATGACAGAACTTCTGAATTAAATCAAGGAACATTGTGCTGGATTCTCAGTGCTGGCAAGTTATTTGCAAATTATGTTTATGATGAAGGAAACTATTCCAGAGGGGAAATACCAGTGAAGTAAAATGCCTGTAGCCTGCCTCTGTTCACCTGTGCCCACCTTATGTCTTTGCCCTATATAATCCCCCCCACACACACTCTCACACATTACACACACTCACTCTCCTTAGAATCGGACAATGTATTTTCATTACGAGTAATTGATAATCATCAGTCTACTTCTGTAGTTGACAGCATTAGTTATACTTTTCCTAAAATTGACTTGTTGCATGAGAAAGAGAGGCTTCTTAAACAGACTCCCAAGACAGTTAAGAGTTTAGACTCTGGGTCCAAATTGCCTGGGGATTAAACCTGCTTATGGTATTAGACAAATTACCTGCGCTTTTAATGAATCCTTTTTTTCTTGTGTAAAATGAGGCAGTAGTGCCAGTCTTAAGGATTGTTTTCGCTGAAGTAATTCACTGAGAGCATGTCAAGCTGACGTGGAGTGGATCAGAAGTGTTGGCTGTTTATCTTCTGTGTCTCGTCTGTATTTCTTTCAGGTCATTGCTATGGACAGTGCTATCACCCTGTGGCAGTTCCTCCTGCAGCTCCTCCAGGAGCCTCAGAACAAGCACATGATCTGCTGGACCTCTAACAATGGGGAGTTCAAGCTTTTGCAGGCAGAAGAGGTGGCTCGTCTCTGGGGAATTCGCAAAAACAAGCCAAACATGAATTACGACAAACTTAGTCGAGCCCTCAGATATTATTATGTCAAGGTAATAACCTATCCCAATCTTGATAGCATTTTGTTCTTTTTGTGTGCCATCTAGTTGGAACTGACCCATAGCTGACCTTCCAGTGGGTTTTCAAAGGCAGTTAGTCACATGATTGCCAGTCCTTCTCCTTTGGAGCAGCTGGTGGATTAAAAACACAGAGCTTTGGGATTGAAGCACGGCTTTTTACCACTAGGCCACCAGAGCACCTTTATATATTATATCTCTTTTTATTTTATTTCTTTATTACATAGTGTGTGTGTGTGTGTGTGTGTGTGTGTGTGTGTGTGTGTGTGTGTGTAAATCTGTGTATATCTCAGACTCACTGCCATGGCATGGGTTCTGTGTCCTAGTCACATTATAGGATGGAGAAGCACCACCCCGTAAGGTTTCCATGGCTGTAAATGTTCATGGAGGCAGACGGCTTCATTTTTCTTCCTGGAGCAGCTGGTGGGTTTGAACTGCCTGTTGGTTAACAGCGGAAAGCTTTAACCACTGAGCCAGTAAAACGTCTCTGATACTTTGAACCAAAGGAAACCAAAGACGTTGTTCTCAAGACAGTTCCAACTCATGATGCCCTTCCATCAGCTTTCTGAGACTATGTTTTTGTGGGAAGAAGACAGCCTAGCTTTTGCCCATGGAGCAGCTGGTGGATTTGAACCGCTAGCCTTGCAGTTAGCCATCCATCATGGAATAAATACACTGTATCAGCAGTGTTCCTTTGATATTTGTGGTGGTGGTGTTTTGTGCCATGGAGTTGGAGCTGACTCATAGCTGACCCTCTAGTGGCTTTTCAGAGGCTGTAAATTGCACAGGAGAACATTGCCTATTTTTCTCCCTTGGAGCAGCTGATGGATTTGAACTGCTTGCCTTTGGACTGGCAGCACCGCTCTTTACCACTAGGCCAGTAGAGCTTCCTGATGCTTGTGTAGAGATTCTTAATGAAAGAATTGTTTCTTCTCTTTACTTGAGATAAGAGAGATTACCTTTCCGGGTTTTGGCACTTTGGAATGAGGATGAAAGGAAAAAATGTTCCAGCTGAATTACTGCAGAGTTCCACAACATACACTTTACAATTGTGGCAAACCACACAATGCCCGCACCTTGTGCAGTAGTCTCCTAGGGACACTATGCACCTTTTGTGAGTTATTTTCATGAGCATATTATATATGAAAATACGGTGCACGTTCTGCACCTGCTTGCAGTTGTCTTTAAAAGACTAAACCAGAGGAATTTAATGGAACCCAGCTGCTGGCCTGCTGCTCTGGAAGAGATCACCATACAAGGCCCCAGTAGCGTACGAGAAAAAAGTAAAAATGAAAAATCATTAAAAAGACCACACTCACTACGCCAATACAGACTGGTAGGACCCCCAAGACCATGGCCCTTGGTCACCTTGTGAGCCCCTGTGACCGCTTTGACTCCATCGGGAGACAGTCTATAAGGTCAGTGAGAGTGTTAACAGGAGTATGCACGTCTCAGACCAGCCGGCCATGTGAGAGGGAAAAGAGCAGCTCAGAAAGCAGAAAAGATAGGGAAAAGGGCAACTAGATAAGGGAAATACTGGGAGGAGAGTGCTGTTCCATTGTAGGGATTGGAATCAGTGTCACAGAACAATGTGTATGCACTGTGGAGTGGAAAATCAGTTTGCTCTGTCACTTCTTCACAGTAAAACACGTTAGAAAAATCAAAGACAAAGTGAGTCCAGAGTTGGAATAAGAGAAAGAAAACTGGAGATTCTTGAGGATTGTTACTACTCATTCTTGAGAACAATTATTATTCATGTGTATGTCATAATTTACTTAATTTTTGTTTTTAGTGCATCTCTATGAGAAGACAAGAATACTTTAAAAAAATGGCAGTTAATACATAATGTGGATTTCAAAGTTAAAATTCCATTTTTTTTAAATTGCAATTATTTTAATACATTTTGGGACTGTTGTAAAAGTAAATGGCTCAAGAAAGTAGGCAACTCTGGTGGCCTAGTGGGTAAGGAGTTGCACTGCTAATCCAGAGGTGGGCAGTTCGAATCCACTAGCTACTCTGGGTGAGAAAGATGGGCATGGACAGACAGTCTCCATCTGCATAGTGTATAGTCTCTGAAACCCCTCTTAAGGGATTAACTTTGAGCCAGTTCCAGTGGGAATGATAGTTGAGATGAGGGGTAAGAAACTGAGATCCTCATATCATTACTCTCTCAATGATTGGTCCTCCTAGCTTTCTATTTAAAGATACTAGAAAAAAAATTTCTGACAAACCCAAGAACCTTAGCAGAAGTAATGTCCTAAATTCCTCTTTGCATACTCAGAACATGGGTGCCTGGTAATGGAATTATTTGAGATTATAGCTCAGCAGTTTCTGACTTAGTACAGATACTTGGTTAAGAGTGTTAAGCAGTTAAAAAAACAATCTTTGTTTTTGTGCAGACATTTAAATGCCTTTGCCTCAACTTATGGTCTATGGTGGTAGCGATTGTGTTTGGGATGGCTAGATAAGTTTAGATGATTTTGAAAATTTAGATCATTTTGAAGTATTTATGCATACTGTACTGCCTTGTTTGCAAAGAGAGAACCTTCTTAGGCCACTTTTTTTTGTATATGCCATGAGATGTAAGTTTGTAAGAAAGTATAAGAATGCTTATTTTATATGCCTACAGAATATCATCAAAAAAGTCAATGGTCAGAAGTTTGTGTACAAATTTGTCTCTTACCCGGAGATTTTGAACATGGATCCAATGGCAGTGGGCAGGATTGAGGGAGATTGTGAAACCTCAGGCTTCAGTGATGTCAGCAGCAGTTCCAAAGACGTGGAGCACGGAGGCAAGGAGAAGGCCCCGCAGCCTGGCGCCAAGGCCTCCAGCCGCAATGACTACATACACTCTGGCTTATATTCTTCCTTTACTCTCAACTCTCTGAACTCCTCCAATAAGAAGCTTTTCAAATCCATAAAGATTGAGAATCCAGCAGAGAAACTGGCAGAGAAGAAATCGCCTCAAGAGCCAGCACTGTCTGTCATCAAATTTGTGACAACACCTTCTAAAAAGCCACCGCTTGAGCCTGTTGCTGCCACCGTCTCAGTTGGCCCGAGTATTTTTCAGTCTTCAGAAGAAACCATCCAAGCATTGGAGACAATGGTTTCCCCGAAACTGCCTTCCCTGGAGGCACCAGTGACCACCTCTAACATAACTGCCACTCTGACCCCTCCCTCCCCTCCCGTCCCGTCCCTGTCCCCTTTGCAGGAGCCTCCTCGAACACCCTCGCCACCACTGAGTTCTAACCCAGACCTTGACACAGACATTGATTCAGTGGCTTCTCAGTCAATGGACCTTGCCGAGAACTTGAAACTGGAGTCTGACGAGCAGGATTGCATTTTGCCAGAAAAGGACAAAACAAATAATTCATCAAGGTCCAAGAAACCCAAGGGGTTGGAACTGGCACCCACCCTGGTGATCACGAGCGATCCCAGCCCACTGGGCATCCTGAGCCCATCTCTGCCCACAGCTTCTCTCACACCGGCACTGTTTTCACAGGTAGCCCTTCCTTCCTTTTTAGTGCCCCCTTTGTTAAGCCAAATTCAGAATTTATACACTCATTTTGCTACTCATCTCATCTTAGAAGGGTTATGTTTGACCCTGTACAAGTAATCCAATTTTTTTAACTCAATTTGGATTTCTAAATAAAAGAGCGGGAGTATTAAAAACTATTAAAGTTTTTAATGTGCTGCATAAATCAAGAAATATTTTTACTTTTCTACTTCCTCCTAAAGAAAACAAAGCATCTCTTTATTTGATCTTAAAAATCTAGATGATGCCTTATTTTTTTAAAAAAAACCAAAAACCACACAATTGAGGATCTCAAGGAATGAAAACAGTAGGTCCTGAGAACCTTAAGAAAAATGGCTGCATGAGGTTGAGTAACAAGTTTATGCAGTTACATTAGGTATTTATTAACTTGCTCACCTCGTATAACATTTTAATAGATGCATTTACTCCTAGACCGTCTCATTATAAAGAAAGAAACCTGTTTGTGACTCAGTTCTCCATGATCCCTCTGTCTCGGAATTTGGGTTGATTCTCCTATTTGGAAACACCCTATTCGAACTGGACTAAGATTTAGTTACTTTAACCTTTATCTTTCTTAGATTCAACAAATACTTTGTGAAGTTTTCCTCATGATAGATTTTTAGACTTTGGAGGTACTTGAAGTAGAGTATGGACATAATTGATTCAGGGCAATGCATGTAACTATTTTAAGGAGAAGACATAATCCTGCCAGCTCATCTGACAGATGTTTTTGCTTTTTGTGTTGCAGACGCCCATCTTACTGACTCCAAGCCCCTTACTCTCCAGCATCCACTTCTGGAGTACCCTCAGCCCTGTCGCTCCTCTAAGTCCAGCCAGACTGCAAGGTGCTAACACACTTTTCCAGGTAAATGACTTGAAAGGCTGGCTTAGAATTGAAACATGTTGAATGAAGAAAGAGGCTAAAAGACAGAGTTTCTTCTTTAGTTTGCTCACTCTGAAGCCTACATCTAATAAATAATCCCTGAGTTTATTTTTAAATTTCCAAGTGCTGATTTTCTAGTCAGTTAGCAGGTTGATAATATTCACAACAGAGTTTCCTTCTCATCATTTAATATCACACCATTACTACTTTTGAAATATACCAAGAATTGATCAATATTATGGTAGATTTTAAGGCCACCTGATCCCCCCCCCTTAAACATTACAAATCCTCCTTGTGTTTTAGAAAATATAGTTAAATTATGTATGGTATTTTGGGGGACTCTCTCTCTGCCTCTAAAGTTTCTCCTTGTAAATGAGGATTTGAAAAACATACAGAACATTTTTTGAGAATAGCTTACCACATACACCCATTACACACTCAGAGTCGGTATGGACACTGCCTCACTCAAAGTTACGGCGTTGAGCTGGTTTGGACTTAGAGCAGTTCACCTGGTTTCCGAGGCTGTACACCTGAACGGAGGAGACTGCCCACCTTCTTCCCTTAGAGCCGCTGGTGGAGTCGGTCACCTAGAGATACACAGCCTCGGCTGGCACAGAACTTCCTCTGAACTCTACCACCGGAGCGTTGTCAGCGCTTTAAGTGTGTCAGATAAGAGGGGGTAAAAATCCCAGTTCACTTCCTTATCTGTAATTTAGAACTTTTTACATAAACTAATGCAGAACCAGAGTAATATATCATATGGTCATCAGACTCAAAATGCCCCATGCCAGTCCATCTCATCTCTCCAATACCTAATATGTCAATATTTATGCGTTCCATTTCTTTCTTAACAATTTCTAATTTTCCTTCATTCATGGTTCTCACATTCCATGTACCAATCACTAGGGTCTGCTTACAGCTGTTCCTCCTCCCTTGTGTTTCTATACTTGATGGTTCTACCTAGGTTGCCCTTTTTGTTAATCTGCGTGTGTTCTGTTGTGCATAGGGTTTTCAGAGGCCTGCTATTTCAGAAGTGGGTGGCCAGTCCTTCTTCCTAGTCTGTCTTAATCTGAATGTTCAGATTTAGAGGAGTATCTGACAGACACAAATACAGGTCATGGTATTTGCAATCGCTTGTTATGCATCAGAGAGTTGGACAATGACTAGGGAGGACAGAAGGAGAGTGGATGCTTTTGAGCTGTGGTGCTGGAGAAGGGTACTGAATGTACCCTGGACTGCCAGGAAAACAAACAGATCCATCTTGGAGAGGATTAAACCAAGCTGCTCCTTGGAGGCAAGGATTCTGGGGCTTCGTCTGACATACTTTGGACATGTTGCCAGGAGGGATGGGTCCTCAGAGAGGGACATCATGCTTGGGAGGGTGGAGGGACAGTGCAGAAGGGGAAGACCCTCCATGAGATGGATTGATTCGGTGACTGGGGTAATCGGGATGGGTGTGTCAGAGGCGGTGCGGTTGGCGCAGGATAGAGCAGGGTTTAGAGCTGTTGTGCATAGGGTCGCTATGAGTCGGAAACGACTCGATGGCACATAACAACAACAACAATGCAGAACCAGAAAGATTTTAATTGCCTTCTTTTACCTTACTATTCCAAAAAGAATGAGAGTGTAAGGATGCTTACACTTAGGGGCAAACTAATGGTTGAAAAATGTTAAAAGATACTATATCTTAAAAATATGTGTATAATGAAAATGTTGATTGTTTGCCAAAAGCTCTCTTTTAATTGAATGTGTTTCTCCCCTCCCATCAACAGATAATTGAAGTACAAAGTGATCTGAGGGGAGCTTTGGTGGCCTAGTGGGTAAGGAATTGTGCTGCTAACCCAAAGGCACAAGGATTGAATCCACCAACTGCTCTGCAGGAGAAAGACGGGCAGTCTCCTCTCATGTGATTTACAGCCTCTGAAAACATGCTGTAGCTGTGAGTTGATTTTTGACTCAACAGCACATAACAACAACAACAAAGTGATACGAAACCTTAAGTGAACACTTAGTGCTCATCTGCCTTTCGAATGCAAACTGGGAACTCTTCAAGGGTGAGCCTTTTGTTTGTGCCAGTACAGAGAAGTCACTGAGAAGCACTTCTTTCTGGACCTTTCTGGATCCCTTCAGAAGGTCCATCATTTGTTTTATAACTTAATTACATTCTATAGTCCATATTTTCATTACTGAATTTTTTGAAGTCTTTATTTGGGAATGAAGTGTAAAGTAAACTTAGACTATAAGGGAAGGTAGAGGTTTGTTCTCTGTTCCATAGAGGCAGGGTTTTGTGGTTGTCTTGTATTCGTTGAGTCAAAGCAGACTCATAGCTGCCTCCCCAGCAGGTTTTCAGAGGCTGTAAAGGAGATTGGTTATCCTTCTCCTGTGGAGCAGCTGGTGGATTTGAGCCTCTTGCTTTTGAGTTGGCAGCATAACTCCTTACCTACTAGGCTACCAGAACTCTCGATGGGGTGGAGGACATTAATATTAAGTACTCAGGACAACCAAGATTTTTCTTTGAAGTTTTTTTATGATATCATGTTCCTCCTTGATAAACAACTCCTCATCTGACTTTAGAAGGAGCAGGCCCTGTGAGCCACTGCAGGAGCCTGTTGTGTCCTGTCTCAGGAGTATAGTCAGGACAGAAAGTACAAATTGTGGTTGAGTAATCAGATAATAATGTGTTTTATTTTCTTTCTCAGTTTCCTTCTGTGCTGAACAGTCACGGGCCATTCACTCTGTCTGGCCTGGATGGACCTTCCACCCCTGGCCCATTTTCCCCAGACCTGCAGAAAACATAACATATGCACCGTGGAATGTTACAGTCAACTAAGGAACAAAGAAACATACTCTCAGCTTGATTACATTTGAAGTTGAGCAGTTGGAAACTCCACAGAGTTGAAAATGGATTATTGTGATTTTTGCCATTCTTCATTGAACTGCCTTTTTAAGATTCCCTTTGGATAGGACTCAAGTTGAACTATGTATAAAAATGCCTTAATTGGAGTCCAGCCTCCACTTCCTTCTCATTTTTTTTTCTTCTTCTTAATGTTTTGAGCTTTGTATTAAAGACATTTTGGAGGTGGGATCTGCCTTGCAAGAACAATTAAGGGCAAAGTTACTCATTCTGGTTATTGGGATGGGGGAATAATAGAGTGCATTATTTCAAGAAATTGAAAGTGAAATTGACCTTATCTTTAGGATTTAGGTGTGCTCTGCTGAACCACTAAAAGTGACCAGTTAATAATCATTGGAGGAAAAGGAATCATTTCTGTTCACACAAGAGAAAGAATGAGACAATACTTGTGGGGATTTTTTTTTCTGCTGTCATCTGTGATATATATAAGCAACTCCACCAAAAGATATCTTGTTTACATCTCCTCCGGGTGAGTCCCTTAGGCACATGTGTGATCTTGTCTGATCCTGTCAGCAAGGCATGGAGCTGGGCTTCTGCAGCTTAGGAAGGCTTTAAACTTGGGGTTGAAGACAGTGCTTGGAATATAAAGTGAGAATATGGGAACCGCCCCCAATCTCATGAAAGTCTGTTCACTGCCTGGGCATTGTGATTTCGTATTCCTGGGTCACAGGGTGGTACATGTTGACTTTTACTGGTGATGAACCTGAGTATTTGAAAATTGGAGACACTTAAGAAAAAGATTCAGTTGAATAATTTGAGACCACGAAAGTCCTAGACAGAAGATAGGCAAAGTAAAGGGCCCTCTTTTCCTGCTCATTTTCTTTTGCATATTTATCTCTTTCCTTTTAACTTAAGGCTCTAAACAGATTATGATAGTTAAAAAATGTAATTAGGAAGATGAAATGCGAAGGGAAGTTTCCTGTCAGTTGTGAGGGAAAGCAGGGCTCATCATTCCTTTCAATTTCTTTTTAATTGGGGAAGAACATAGTTCATTTGAGAATGCACACACATAGGGACTGAGTTGTTTGTATTAGAGGTAAACAATTTAAGCCTGATGTCTGAATAACCACATTTATAAAACATTACCCTGAACAACCAGGGCCAGATGCAGACAGATTGGTTGATTCCTCAAACCCTAAACTGACATCCTCTCCACAAGGAGGACTTTTTGTTGATATATTTCATTTCAAAGCCCAGGGTGAAATTATATGCTGCCTCCACCACCTTACCCATTAAACTCTTATTTTCACCTCAGAAATAGTTCCTTTAACTGAGTCACGTGAATGGAATGGAATGAGAGAGTAAGGACAGTGACATTTTGAGACAAACCAGAGTCTTCCAGATACATAATCTTCCCCTTAGGTTGTTTATAAGCAGTCTAGAGACAGGGCTATACTAGCTCTTCCATAGTGGAAGGGAAATTGTCATTACCTTTATTTATGTAAGCTGGAGATCTGTTACTGGTTCATTTGCGGTTATCACCTGAAAGCTGGGTGCCTGAGAAGTGCAATAGTGGTTTCGGACAGCAGTGCTCGGCGCTAATGGGAAGGGAGCCATGCATGATGATGCAGTTTGCGTGCCTTTTTGAAAGGGGACCTTGACCTCTCCACAGCACTTTGAAATAGTTTATTAGGTGAATAAATGTATTATGCCTAAAGTGATAGATCAGTACAGACTGATGAATTAGCTAGAAGTTTTAAATTTGCAAAGAACAGAAGTATTTTACCTTTTTTTTTTTTTTTCATTAAAGGAGAAAAAGCCATGTGTCTGTTTTCAGAGACAGTATCTTTGATAGTCTTAGCACAGGGATGTCTGGGAGCCAGGGGTACCAGAGAAAGACAGGAGTAGCAACTTCCTCCAAACCAGTTTTGTCAGTCTTCTTTCTATAAACCCACCCAGGACACCTCTGAGAGGTGTGAAGTTTTCGGAAGTTGATGACAGTCTGCCTTCTCTTTGAGATCAGCTCATTTGGGGGATGCTTGTGTATATGTCTTTGTCTATGTATTTTCCTTTTATTAAGAAAAGTTTACAACCTTAGCTCAAGCTATGAGCTAGAAATCTAGAGATTTACATGCTGTTTTAGAGGTTAAAAAGGGTAAGACTGATTGTCAAATCTGTTTATCTGGCACGCTTTCTGGCTTTCTTCATACTGTTTCTCAGAGGGCAAAGGAGATTATAGACTTGGGATCCTGGAGCAGTGACTCCAGACTGTTGATCATATCACTTCAGTCCCATTCACACCTTGCATTGTCTGTGTCTAGTCCAACAACATTTTTCCCTCCTGATCTCAGAATTTCTGTTGAGGTTGTGAGGTTCTAAAAAGTAGCTTTTGTTATTTCTTTCTAGTGAATTTAAGCACAGTTAAAAGGCACTCCGTAATTGTTCAGAGAAGCAGTCTCCAAACTTTTTGAACACACCTCTTCATCAGTGGAAAGTTTCAGCATACAGTTAACCTTAATAACAGCCCATACATTTCTATGTACAATTACATGCGACTGTACTAATGAATAGGACCCCTGGCGGCATAGTTTGTGACATGTGAGGCTGGCTGCTAACCGAAAGATTGGTAGTTCGAATCCAGCAGTCACTCTACAGGCAGAAAGAGTGGACAATCTCTTCCCATAATGATCTACAACTCCATAGAGGATTGCCGTGCCATCCGACAGAAATGACCTGACACCAGTGGGTTTATAATAATGAAGCACAATGGTTAAACACTGCTGCTAACCTTCCTGCAAGGTCAGCAGTTCAGACCTCTCAGCAGCTCTCAGAAAGCCATGACAGTCAGCTTCTGCAAAGATGACAGCTTGGTAAACCTCGTCAGCCAATACATGGGGCCTCCATGAGTTGCGGCTGACCCAGTGACACACACTGGTGCCACACTAATGTCTGCCCGTTAAACAGGCACAAACCAGAAATCCAGTATAACTTAAAAAGTACACACGGCAGGAAGTTCCGACAGTCCCCTGGTTGTCTTCTGTATGGTCTGGAGGCACATCCTCAACTGTCCACTGACTCAGGATATTGCTTCTCTGTTGAGTCTGGAGGAGAAAACAATGTGTGTGCGTGTATTTACAGATCTATCTATCTCCATTTGTCACGATGCTGAGAGAAACCTTCTGCATGTTTTCTTTTCATGTGAAATCTTTTCCAGGAGAGCTTGTCATCAGTATTCTGAAATGTCACATTCATTCTTTTTCATAAGTTGCCAAATAACAACCCTCTTCCAAATGTGCCCCAGAACTTCGTGCATGCTATTTTTGACAGCAGCCTGTTGTCTCTGCCCTCATTGTATTATAGGCATGGTTCTGTGGCTTATTTATTTTACTGGCCTGTTTATAAAATTTTAAGGCTTCTTTAATGTTACATTTTACCAACAGTTTTTTTTTTTCAGGTTTCTTCCTGGTTAAATATGGGATAACTTTCATTTTCTAATCAGTTTTTGTTCAGTTTTTTGGGAGCTGAGGTGACATTTCAGCATCTGAAGGAATGCTTTTCTTGATGGCCCTGTTTATCTTTTCATTTACTGTTTGTTTGGGTTTTGGTTTTTTTAAATGCCACTTAACCTGCCAGAAATTTAGAAATGTGCCATTGTTGTGTAAACAGGTGTGGGTATCGAGAGTAAGTGTCTATGCAGAAGCCTCAGGGCTCCGAAGGAATCAACAGACCAGCAGAAATGCACAAGTGTGCCACTGTGTAGTCTGAGGAGATGACAGAGTGTATGAACTTCTGACAGAGAGTAGAAGAGTTGATCATGTTCTCTTCAGCAGACTGGCTGACTCGAGAATGGTTTCCGTGGAAAGTATTTAGCTCATTATCTGCTTGGCTTTGGGTCAGCGGGCAAATGATTTGTTAATTGTTTTGAATGCTGCTGGTATTGACCGAGGCAAGGTGCCTCTCGTGTCCTCAGGACTCCACTTGCTGGAGTTGTTGCAATCTTAGAATCTAGGATTCTTGTTGTGGGGAGTGTATTAAGCAAGCCGACCACTTGCTTTCATTTCTTGTGCTTGGTAGAACTCATTAGTACAAAACATCATGTTTTGACCTGTGAACTGAGCACATCTGAAAGGTGAGTTATTGGCATGGAATAAATGTTCCATTGCAAGCTGCCAGTTTCCTCATGCCACTTTTTCATGACTGTGATAAAGCCACAGCCTACCAGAAAGTAGCAATTTCTAGATGCTGCCATTCACCCTTAACCACCATGAAAGATGGGAATCCAGAGTGCTCATGTGAGGGGCAGGTGGTGGCTTTAGACTTCCTACAGAAACTCCACCGTTCCCCTGATGTCAAACCATTAGCAAGAAAATACACAATGAAGACAATCATACTAGCTTTCTGTACTTTAATCTTTTTTACTTAATCTAATATATTAACTAAGTAATTTGGTCTTAAATATTTTGACTGAAATACACATCAGGAAGTTTAAACTTCCACTTTGAAATATATAATTAGGGGTCAGAACATTTGTTTCCAAGTCATTTTGATATATTGGGTAATGAGAGAGAGTGTGTGTGTATACACACAGCGTATGTGTACTTTTCAGAGGGAACACATGTTACTCATTCTTCAGACTAGAAGTAGCTTCTAGGCTATTTTATTATAAAACTGAAAAATTAAAAACCCAGACTTACTCCATTTTGCAGTTGCCACTTCTTAAAGATGAATGCCTTGTACATTTTAGGTTTTTCCACACCTAAATCATGCGTCTTAAAGATTGATTGTTCCAATTTGAGAGAACAATGCTCCTTGTGACCTATTAGAAACAAAATCATCTTGAAATGTTCTTATATATGATTGGGATATTTAGGTAATCTAATTATTAGGGATACTTACCCTCTTTTTTAAAAAATTGCATATTTGATTTGGTTGAGCAACCAATTC